TTTTTAAATTTTTTAGCAAGCACAGTTGATTAAAACATTCCAGGCCCTTGTTACCGCTACAATCTTTATAAGAATTTAAAAATCAATGCGTTTTTCACTGCAAGAAAGATGCTAAAATTTCCTATACTAATCTTTGGTACCCCATTGACACAAGCAAAACAAAATTTTTAACCAAAATTTCGATTGTTCTAAAAAGGATAAAAAAACATAATTTAATTAATTAAAGAATCCTTTCTTCTTTTCTCTTACTTAGGATAAAGATTTTAATGATCAAACTTTGTTTTTATCAAATGTGAGGCATTTTTTCATCATGTATGTTTATTTTTTTAGCAAATCTTTGGCAGTACTTATGTTAATCTTATTATAGTTATTTAGTGCCATCAGCAAATAATTAAACTAAAAAAAGGATATTTTAGTAAAACATGTTATCTTGCATTAATTAAACCATTACAAGTTTTGTTGAACCCAAATACAAACTAAAATGTTTGCTTCCCAAATTAAATATTTAAAAAAAAAAGTAAATAAATTTAAATAAATTGTCCTTTTTACACTATAATTAACCTCCCTTACCAAAAATGATAGTTCTTTAAGGTTGTTCTAACTTTAATAATAGCCCAAACTTATTGAATGCATCAAATTAATGTGAAAGTGTAAAAAATATTTCTTAAAAATAAAAATGAAAGCTGAATTAAGACTCGGTCATTTCTGACATTTCACTTATTTATGAAAATAAAAACAAACTTTTATTATTTGTAAATGAAATGAAACTCGTATATATAATTGATACTGACACGTAAACTCACAGACAGACATTGTGCCAGATAGAAACTCAGCCAACAAAGATTAAACTTTCTCAGATTGTAGCGTTTTGTCTGGCCCCAAAATTTAATCTTCAGTTTTAAATCAAATCAAAAGAAAAAAATGCAGACATTATTTTAAAGTATTTCAGTATTAATCGCTTAAAAAAAGTGAAGAAAATAAATATCCCCCATCCACCAAACTTAGATAGCAACCCTTCAAATTTAACAACATATTTAAAAATTTATTTTACAAGAAGCAAAACGAGTTTGCTCTATGTGTAAAAGAAGAGCTCTCCACCTCCTTGGCTCCAGCAAAAAGGAGCATATACTCCTGGAGTGCTCTCTTTTCAGGAGCGTTCCTTAAATATATAATATGAACAAGTTCTGGCTATCAGTTTTTTTTTAAATCTTTAAGGAGAGAAGACAATAAAAGAATAAGAATTAAGTAGACAGAAGATAATGATTGACAGCACATTTAAATTTTTAAAGATCAAAGGCAATAAAGCCACTAGGATGCAAGAGGTTACTGACTGTTAGAGAATATACGAAAAAAACTACTATTAACGAGAGGACAATAAAAGAATAAGAATTAAGAATACAGAAGATGACGATTGACATTGCATTTAAATTTTCGAAGATCAAAGGCAATAAAGCCACTAGGATGCAAGAGGTTACAGTGTGTTAGTAAATATGAGAAAAACTACTATTAAGGAGAGAGGGCAATAAAATAAGAATTAAGACAGAAGATAACAACTGACATTGCATTTAAATGCGTATATATTAAACTTGTCTGGGAAGTAAGAAACCAGAAGAGTTCCACGAGTGAGAAGTGTGATAGAAGAAACTGTTAACATAGAACTTACAGTTACATGTAGCCATTTCATCTGCAAAATGAGGAGACTTTGCCGCCGATCTAACAATCTGCTTGTTATATAGGAATAAAGTGTTGCTGCCGACACTTGAGTTTGAACATAGATCGCCAGTGAGCAAACACAGGCAACCCCATTATTGAATTAAGTGGATTACATGACCATAAAGAAAATGCATATATAGGAAGTTGTGTGATGTCTAAATGATCTGCATTTCTAGTCTATCCTCTATTACTATTCTGATTGTTATTTCTAGTCTATTCACTATACTATTACTCTATTCAGATCACTATATGAGTTATTGTTCAAGCGAGTATTATCAAGCAAGTACTATTAGTGCAAGTGTTATTCGAAGGTGTCTGACACCTGTATTGTTCAATGGCACTACCATAGTTATATATATATGATTACAAAGTCTCTACTACAACAAGCATTACGAAAGTGACAACGAGTATTCGTTGACATCACAAAAGTGGCAAAGAGTGTTTGTTGACATCACAAAATTGCTTAAACTCATAAAATCTAGGTACCATAGAGGAATGTTAATCAGAGCAATTATCATGAAAGTATTTATAGAAAAAGTACAGTAAAGCTGTGTTATGGTGGTGGAAAAAGGGACTGAGGCCGAGATGCCAGGTCAGAACAAATAACATTGCAGATTCTTTATTGAGTTTATCAAGAATCTCTAAATATACAGCAGGAGCACTAGACCAAATGTGGCTGCAATATTCAAAGCAAGGATGAATGGTAGACTTAAAAATATGTAAAATAGATTCTGGTGAAAAAAATGTCTAGTACGACACAGTGAACCAACTTTCTTAGCTGCAGACTTAAACCTAAAAAATATTAAATATAGAAATTGAGTTAGAATTAGTTAAAATCTATTTTCTAAAACAATACAGTTAAAATAAAAATAAACCACTAGGTTGCTTAAGGGGAATTACATTTTATCTTGCTATTATATATTCATGCTTCATTGGCAAAACATGTCAAATTATAAGTTTCCAAAATTGTATTGTATATTTACCCTATATCTGAAAAGAGATCTGATTGCAGGTTGCAAAAAGCAAGAACTTTGTACTCAGAGAATTTCTGCAAATTTCTCATCAGCACAGGTTAAATATAATAAATCTGATTTCATTATGTGCAAAACTGTTCTTCTTTTATGCACCGTGTCCCTTCAGTGTGTAGGCAATCATGGCCCGCCACATCTTCTTGTTCCTTGTAGCTCTTAATAGATCTGATCTCATTGTGTGCTAAACTGTTCTTCTTTTATGTCTCCTGTCCCTTCAGGCCATAGGCGACCAAGGCTCTCCACATCTTCCAGTCCCTTGTAGCTCTTAATAAGTTTTGTCTTTTTGTTATTTCTCCAAACCCCTATTGTACCATCCATTTGCTCAACCCATCAAGCATGTTACATGCTGATTTCCTCTGACCCTCTATCTGTCCCATGAGTATCAGGTTTTCCAAGCCCTCCTCCCTCACTGTGTTCCCCAGAAATTTCAACTGCCTCTTCTTATTGTTAAATATAAGTTTCCTTTTTTGTTTCCATTCTCTCCAAAACTTTGTCGTTGCTTGAAGGTTCGGTCCATGGTATCCTCAATATCTTTCTGTAGAACCACATTTCTGTTGCTTCAAGTTTCCATTTTTGGCCGTTTTTGTGTTAAACTGTTACTCAAATAAAAATTTACATTTTATTAAATATTTTTCCATTAAACATCTCATTTATATATTGAAATTTTGTACATATCTACATATTTTTGCATTTGAAATGTTAAAAATAATAACAAAAAGAAATTTGAAAATATAAAGACCAATAAACAGGAGTATATATATATATAAACCCTCAAGTCCATTGTTAAATGGGGCAAATGATGACTTGTTAATTTTAACATCTCCAAAATAAAATTTCTCTCTATTAATCATCTGAGAGACTGCTCTTCCTTCTAACCTCCAGGAAAGGGACTTGTTGCACCTTCTCAGGCTAATGTCCTTAGCTGACATGAAGTGGAAAGACTATATTGAATCCATTGTGATGTCAGCTTCTAAGAAAGTTGGTTCAATGTGTTGTGTGGGACAATTTTTCCTTCCAGAATCTATCTTACATACCTATAAGTCTACTGTTCATCCAAGCAGAAAATATTGCTGCCACATATGGTCCGGTGCCCCTGCTATTTACCTTGAGCTCCTTGATAAAATTCAAAGAAGAATCAGCAATATTATTGGTCCTGATCTGGTGGCTCAGCTTCAGTCACTTATCCACCGCCATAAGATTGCCCCTCTGTATCTTTTCCATAAACAATTTCATGGTAATTGTTCGAATGAGCTCTTCGCTATGGTCCCTAGACTTTAGGAATTTAAGCACAGTACTAGACTGGCAATGAGGTCTCATCAATTTACAGTTGAGGTGGCTAGATGTAGCCATAAATTCTATGCTAACAGTTTCTTTTCTTACACTTCTCACTTGTGGAACTTCTTTTCAGCTCCATGCTTACCAGCCAACTTTAATTTACAAAAATTTAAATGCAATGTCAAATGCTATCTACTGTCCTCCTGATTATTCTTTTCTCTTTCTGCTCATTATTAATATTTCTGTTCCTAATTCTTCTACACTCTGTAACCCCTTGTGTCTTAGTGGCTTTACTGCCTTGCATGGGGTGATATCAATTAAAAAACAAACAATGGAACAAGTGCCAACCTTCTTATGACATCAAAAGCAAGGGATATTGGATGAAAAGAAGCTGAACTGCAGATGGAGGTCCCCAGCTGATGACATGCCTAAATTTTGGTAATGTTGAGACTTGTATAAAACTGTGTAAAGGTATGTATGTTAATATTGCTGCAACATCTGGGCTGGAGCTGCACAATCTTCACTTTCCAGCCTTGACAGAGTTCAAAAGCATTTGTGCAGACTTTTGTTTGATGAATTATCCATCATTATTTTCATGGCAGATGTTTGGGCAAAGTACAATATTTATTTCCACCAGTTCAGACCTTCACAGCTAGAACCTACCAGACCATATACACTGAGTCGACTCATCCTCTTTCCTTCAGATTCCATTGGTGAAGAGAAAGATCCACTCAGACAGATTCTTCCCAAGGAACGGACTCCCAAGAGTTTACTTCCATGATCAATACTATCCTAACCTCTCACAAATCAGACCAAATGTTATCTATCCTACGTATGCTCATAAGATGCAACTCTTACCTCCTCTTTGTAGAACCTTACAACAACCTCATTCAGTAACAATCTACCGTGAGTGGCTCTTTAGACTTGTATTGGGTGAATGATTATGAAAAAAAAAAAAAAATTGAATTAACTTTTTGGTATCAGTTCCTATATGATCACCGAAGTTAAGCAACATTGAGCCTGGTCGGTACCTAGATGAGTGACTGCTTGGGAATACCAAGTTCTGTAAGCTTGGATTTGTAGGTGAAGTTATGGAAAATGGCTCAGAATTGTTAATTAAAGAGCTGAGTTTCAATTCCAGTTGGGTTTGTTACATTCACCTATGTACAAATCACCTTGGGAAACACATGAATGTACCTCTTCTCCTCCAGCTATGAGTTAATTAGTAAGACATATCATTAAATCATTATTATCTCCTAAAATAAAATTGCATACAAAATATTTAGATTTATACATTAAATAACCCATAGAGGTGTTGATATGCCGTTAAACAAAAACAACCATTATTAAAACTTTTTAGGGCATTTCAGTTGTATTTTGTCAGTGGTTTATTTTTTGTATTTTGCTTTCTTTTGTGAATGCTTTGATACTGTGAGATGTAATGATCTGATCAAATGTAAAAACTTCTATAGGTTATTGAATTTATTTTCTGTAACTATCTTGATGTGTCTTCAAAAACATAATGATTTGGTCATGTGAAAAACAAGTTATTGAATTTGTCACGTAATATAAAAATTTAATTTGCTGCAAATATATTTGGTAGACTATATATATATATATATATATTATAATAATAATGGCTGCTTACTCATTTCCAAGCACATTCAACTGTTAGGCTGGCCAGCTAATCCTCATTGCAGATGCCTGATCCGGCACATTTGTGTATATTCAGCATTCAGTGAACCCACCTGTAGGTCATATTAGGTACAGCAGACCTTAGTTACTGTTTCTGGGAGAGAACACATAATATGGTGTAATAAACAGTTTGAACAAGTCCAGTACTCTCAAAGCCTCGGTCACTCTGCCCAGTAATTTTATGCTAACACAGCCATCAACAATTTCCAAACAATTCTGTCAGCTCAATTTTACATACAAGAATTGGGTCGATGTGTGATATAGTTTTCAAGCACTTATCAATGGCGCTGCATACTTGAATTGAATGAGCAGATATGGACGCTCATCTGTGGCCAAATCAGTTAAAGGCACGTCAAGCTAAATGACGGTTCCATATAGGATACAGGTTCAAATCTTGTCAGAGGATGAATATTTTCTGTGAAAATTTCTCGGACATTCAGGCCAGTAAATGTTGTTTAATATTGTTTATTATAAACAGAGCATTTACTTAAATATTTGTTTCTATAAAAAGAATGTATAAACATAAAAATGTCTTAAAATAATTGTCAGACTTTGTCCATTTCATTTATATAATATATATATATATATATATATATATATATATATATATATATGGTGATTTGTTATCAACAAGGGAATGAAACAATGTTTACTTGTTGATCAAGAAAAGTAAAAAGTGTAGAAAATACCAGGACCTAACTTAAGAACAGATTTAATTGTAAAAAATGGAGGTAAGGTCTTTGTCCATCAGAACTGGCTCATTGAGATGAAATCCCAAAAGATTCCAGTGCTGATTTGGGATGAAATAGAAATCTGAACATGTGTGCTGAGATGATGAGAATCTGAAGATCAATGCAAAAACTGAAGAAGCTGTTGAAGATCTGGGGTGACTTGCTGTCACCTGATCAGAAGCAAAAAACATCAGAGAGCTCTCTGGTATGACTTCTCAAATAAACAGACAAAAAAGAATATAATGTCCGAGCTGAAAAAAAAAAAAATTCATAAAATGCAAAGAGTACATTACTGATCAGGTCATAAAACCTGTTTTCTTTTATGGAGGCTAAATTATTTTTGTGGGTGCAGTTGTTTATTCTTCCCTCAGTTCATCGTTTTTTGTACAAATTAAAAATGCTGTGAAAAAGAAAAACTGGGAAATTGCCAATAGAAAATAAAAGCAGGAACTGAATCGGAAATAATGATAGATGAAGAGGACATTAAAAAAAAAACGGGTGAGCATTTGTAATCTAAAAGATGAATAAAAATGGTTGTGTATTATAGATATTTATGCTAGTGATGAAAGTCAAAAAGTTATAGCTGTATTGATTTGAAAATCTTTTTATAATAAACATTGATATTTAATGACAATGCATCAATGTGAAGTGAGTGGAGGCAGGGTTAGGGTTAGTGGCTTGAATTGAAGAAACAGATTGCTGAGATTGAATTCCAGTCAAGTTTCTTACATTCACTTATGTCTTGATATCTTTGGGAATGGTATGAATCCATCTCCTCTCAGCTATGGGTAAAATAGCAGGACAGACAAGATCCTATAGCTTTGGGTGGCAACCAGTCTTGCAAATGGAAACTTCAAATTGATTGCACTATCCTGAAAATGTGTATATATATATATATATGGCTGCAGACAACTTGTGAATCCAAATTCCCAGTGAAATTCCTATTCCGGAATTGCATGTACGAATGAATATGACTTCTGTTATGCTTGGTTAGCTTTTGTTTGGATGTGATGGGTTTGTTTGATGGTGCCAGCTCAACCGAACAGGTGAATGCCAAAGCAGGTACAGGTAATGTAAAGTGTATTTGCTCTTGATCAAGATGGTTGCAGTTGAGTTGGGCTTACACATCAATTCAGAGAATAGCAGATACGGAAAACAAATGCAAGAGAAACATATTCTTTCATATCTCAATTTCAAAATGGATCAAATTAAGATTTATATTTATATCAATATTTTAAATAATGTATATATGCATGTATAAGCCTACTTCATGTCCAGTGGCTCAGAATTGTAAATTAGAATGACTGCTTGGGAACACCAGGTGTTGTAAGTTTGGATGTGTAGATGATATAACGGAGTTGAAAATTGAAAACACAAATTTCAATTTCCGTTGGTTTAGTTATATTCACTTACATGCAAATGAACACAGGAAAATTATGAATCCACCTCTTCTCCCCCAGCTATGGGTTAATTAGTATGATTTGTATCAGTAAATCATTATTGTGTAAAAGAAAAAAAAACTGTTTACAATCTAAAAATATTTTCTGGTTTTAAATAACCTGCAAAGGGTTGATAGGCCATAAAAAACAAATCAATCAATCATGTATAGTGCATGACTTTTTTTTGTGAAAAACCTTATTTTTTTTCATATAGTACATGTATAATGTGACCCCAGCTTCTGAGCAATACTAATAGGCCTACCGTTGTCAAATACTGCAGTACTGAGCATGCTAATTGTTGTAGAGTAGTTTTCACAATGGAGGCTTGTATTTCAATAAGTCGTCCCAAATTAGGTTCGACGTACAAAATGTTAGGAACTTGAAATAAGAGTTAATGATGCAGCAATCTAGTTGTGATGGTTGGTACTTCAATGTCCGATATCGACTGACTTGCTCAACACTACTGAGCCCAACTGGCGACCACTACTACTACTACTACTTATTATGTATGGGAGAGTCTATTAATAATAGAATAGGTATGTCAGGTATAACACTAATGGACATATTTTATAGCAAATAAATGGTCTTTGTTCTTCTTTATACAAAGCTACTCTAAAATGATGAGAAAAACCACTCACAGTAAAATATCAGATACAAAGATTTAGACACCATAATTTTGTTTTTGTTCATGCCTGACTACAGTAGCTCCTTTACCCTGGGCCTGCTCCTACATAACCTAAGTTTCTTCCCTTTTATCACTACATGAAAAGCAAAACCTCATCTATTATACATGCCACTTAAAATCAAATGAAGAATTGTTGTATCATAAATAGAAAAGGTTGACACACATATAGAAAATAAGTAGATTATTCCAGAGAATAATATGCTACATGGTTGAGAACACAGACTAATGTCATAAATGTTTAATCATTAAGTCCTTTCTATTTACCAACCACCCCACAAGGCAAGATGTGGCACAAAGCCAGTTTTTAACGTGGGGTATTCTGAGCTTGTAGGCTTGGGCAAAAATTTCCCATAGACCCTATATACATAGGGTTGGGTTTGTCTACCTACCCAAATGAGACTCTACTCTTCAACATAGCCTCATCTGGGTTTCTCTCTGCCTCCAGGCAGAGAGTTCAACAAGGGAGGAAGAGTAAAAGAAAGCCTCCTCCTCCTCTTGCTCAGTAAGAGAGAGTACTGTTTAAATAGTCTCAGACCAGACCATCTTGTAGGGTGTCCAGCTACTTTGCAACAATAATTAATAGATTTTTTTTCCCTATTTCAAACATACATCCTTCTTCATTTCACAAGTGTTTACATCACTGAGGTATTGCCTTTCCAATGACAACCTCAACAATGTAAACACATGCAAATGAAGATGAATGCAAAGTGGAGAAAGGAAAATAAACATTGTTAATTCTTGATTTATGTAAGGTATTTATAGATTTTAAGCAGTACATATACTAAATGATGTTCTGCTATTCATGTTGCAACAGAAAAAAAACTAGACTACAGGAAGCAGACTAAAGGAGCTTACCTGTACCATTAAGGCAAGCCAAAGGTATTGTGAGAATGTAGGCCTACCAGGAAGGTTACAGTCACTGAAAAGAAATGATCTTTAATTTCTTCAAATAATTACTTGTATGTAGAGTAACCCCCTATTTTTGGCGTAAAAAATAACTTAATTTGATTATTGAAATTTATTATATAAAAGTTTTCATCTAAACAGTCTACATTTTCTATGATTGATATTATAGGGGGTACGTTTTTATGATTTCCCATTTAATTTTAGTTGAGAAAAGGTCTGGGCACCACTGGTGTAGAAAAATAAGACATGGGTATGTTGAGGCCAGTGGAAACACTTAACAGGCAACTGGTTGTTCTTTTAATAATTAGTGGGGAACAGGCTGTAAAAGGGGAGAGAAGAAGAAGAAGAAATAAAAAACTGAATAAAGACAAGGGAGGCCACTGCCTCAAAAAGCATAGCATCGTGGGCAGAACATAACTTCCAGAATCTATCTATATTAAGGCCTTAAGGACACATGGCACAGTGGATAGAGGCATTGGTTAGACCCAGTGATAGAACCCAAAGAGTTGTGAGTTCAATATCTGGTTAAGGCAGTGGTGAACTAGGTAAGGTGAATTAACAGGAGATAACTGTTCATTACAACCACCTGAAGAACTCCAGTGCATACAACGGC